GGGAGCGCACCTTCGGTCGCAGTTGGCTCAAGGATGGTGGTCCCGGTCAGACCTGAGGCACAACATCAATTGGTTGGAGCTCAGAGCCATACATCTGGCTCTCCGCCACTTCCGCAACAGAATTGCGAGGCAACACGTGCTGGTTCTTACGGACAACGTGGCGGCAAAGGCCCATGTGAACCGGCAGGGGGGTACCCGTTCCAGGACCCTCATGGCCGAGGCCCAGCTACTGGTCTCGGCAGAGACCAACCTCGCCTCCATCAGGGCCGACCACATCTCGGGGGAGGCGAACCGACAGGCGGACTTCTTGAGCAGGTCGACAGTGGACCACTCGGAATGGCGCCTGCACCCAGACCATTTCAGGGAGATATCAGACAGGTTCGGCCTACCGGTCATAGACCTGTTTGCCTCTCCGGCGAACTCCCAACTCCCGAGATTCTTCTCCCGATTCCCGTCCCTAGGGGCGGAGAGAGCGGATGCTCTTCAAGGTCCATGGCCGGAGGGCCTGCTTTAAGCGTTTCTTCCTCTGATTCCGTCAGTCATCCACAAGCTCCTGCAGCAGAGGGCGGAGGTGCTTCTTGTGGCTCCGTATTGGCCACGAAGGCCATGGTTTGCCGACCTCGTGAATCTCTCCAGGTTTCCTCCATGGAGGATCCCTCTGGGTCGCATATCTCTCAGCCAGGGGGTTCTGCATCACCCGGACCCCCAGTGGCTTCAGTTGACCGCCTGGCATTTGAACGCCGGATCCTGTCTGGGGAATCCTGTTTGCCAAGCATCATCTCTATGATTCAGGCCTGCCGAAGGCCTGCGACAAACCATATCTATGATTCCACATGAACGAATTTCTGTCACTGGTACAAAAGACACCATTTGACCATCTCGGATTTGACTGTTCCAAGGATCTTGGATTACTTACTGGAAGGTCTTGACAGGGGCTTGGCGCCTAATACCATACGTAGACAGGTAGCGGCTCTCTCCACCATACTTACCTGTGACAACTCGGTGCCGTTAGGTCTACATCCATTGATACGCTCCTTTATCAAGGGCGCCACCAACACCAAGCCCCCCGTGGTTCATAGGTATCCCACTTGGGAGTTGCTGCGGGTCCTACAGGCCCTCACCAAGCCACACTTTGAGCCTCTCAGAACCTGCGACCTGCGGTCCTTGTCCCTCAAGGTCGCCTTCCTGTTTGCGATTACATCAGCCAGGCGGATTTCTGAGTTGGCGCGTTCCATCAGGGATGACCTATGTACTTTTCATCGGGACCGGGTGGTCCTTCGTTTGGACCTTACCTTTATTCCCAAGGTCAACACCCTGTTTCATAGGGCTCAGGAAATCGTACTATCAGATTTCTGCCCTAATCTGTCTCACAACTTGGAACGTCAATGGCATACACTGGACGTACACAGGGCCCTCCGCTACTATATCAAGCGAAGTTTTTGGACTTGGAATATGTGCGTCTCCTGTGTTTCATATATTATTTAAACAGTACACATAACTTCAATTCATGCTTTTATTGAGTTATGTCAAGTAGAACGTTTTTCTTAGGTTGAAAAATAAAAAACCTTGTATATATTTTTAAAAGTAAAACATAATTGTCACAGCTGATGGTAGTCAAGCGGGCTGAACAAATTCGTGCTTATATGGGAGATTTCCAAGGAATCTTAAAGGGTGCACAATAGACTGAGAAATTGAAAAATATTTTCAGTTGCTTTCAGAAGGTAGGCAAAATTGGAGCTAACTTAAGTTCAGCAGAAAACCATTCCAATGGACTGGGAATGCTACAAGAAGCAGTGCCTCTGTCCCTCAGCCTCCTACACCAGTTAAAGTAGGAAACCATTAACTGCTTTTCCCCAGCAAGATTGAATATGTTGGACCAATTCTAGTGGGTGAATGCAGTCCTGAATACCAAGCCATAAAGAGCTTTGTAGGTTAACACTAGCATTTTAAATAGTACTAGGAAGTTAGCGCAGGGTCCATAACACAGGTGTATGAGCTTCCCCTGGCAAGATACTATTCAGGCTGCTCTGTTTTTGACTAACTGTGACTTCCAAGTGGTCTTGGAAGTAATAGCAAAAGACTTATTAACATGGTATATTAACGTGCAGTTAAGCCTGAACAAATGTGTTTACAATTGTGAACCAAACATATAATTTGATCTTCACAAAAGAGAAGCAATTATGGTTAATCTTATAATCAAGCAATAATATGTGCATGCTTAAGTGTTCATAAAAGTGCATTTATGCATATTGTACTATCTTTTTGCTGTCTGGGAATACTAGTTTTCAGTTTGCTTACATCGGTATGGTGAAGTAAGATTTTATATAAATTTTGTTTTTATGCGGATGTAATATTAAAAAATAGAGGAGTCCACAATTCACTAATTGTCTACATTTCTATGTTTTAAGAACATGTAACAATTTAAGTTGGCTGCCTTCTAAAACATTTGAATTCTACTTTATTGTTTGTCGTTTGAACTGAATTTAAAGCTTTTCACCAATGGTGGTCATGCCCTTGTTGTGATTACAGTTGTATATTTTACTTCCAACAAACTTCTAGGTCCCATCTGTTCTTCTGAGGTAGTGGATTAGTAAAATTTACACTGTTCTTTGGGAGTGATCTCAGTACCCTGCAAAATGCACTACTGTACAACTGCAGGAATGCTCCCTTTCTAGAAATCTTAAACAAAATGTTCTGCAATCTCAAAAGTAAATTTGCAAATTATCTATTATGCAGAACTTTTCATAATTTATGATGAAATATTGGATAACAAGACTGCTTTATTTTGGGGGATTTGGGGTATAATTAATTTCTATTGTAACAGGGCAATTATCCTTGCCACTCAATAGCATCTGTTGCTACATCTGCCCTCTTTCATGTGGTGAGGTGATTATTCCTTGTAATCTTTCTATTGCATCTGTAACAGCAACTTAGATCTATAATATCAAGAATAAAGAAATGCTAAAGAGCTCCTTAATCTATCACACTAGAAACTGTAAAGTATGTTTTACAAATCATAATTTGGTCTGTAAAATAATTGTTTGGGCAAATAGGGATAAGATCTAAAGAATTGTGCATTATGTTCCATTTTTATACTGGGCTTTCTTGGTGCTCGTCCTGCTACTCTGTCTGCTGCAGCTGTTCACCCTTCTTCTGAAAGTGAATGGCATGATTGCCATTGATGCCAAAAGTTGTAGTGAAAGTTGACTTGACAATCTCTTTTTCCTATTCATGAAATTGTCTACTTGCTCTGATAGTGAACACAACTATTTTAGCCCCATCTATTATCAAATAATATTTATCTTATTTATTTATTTATTTAAGAAAATTTATATGGTCACCCAACTTACTTTCAGTGACTCTGGATGGCTTACAAAGATAAAAATCTCATATAAAAACAATAAAAAGTTATACCCCACCCCTGTGGTGACAACAATCAGTCAAACAAGGCACTTGATGAGCTCCATTCCACTCTGGGTTCCTCAGACCTCTTGACAAAACCAAGTCATCAGGCCCTTGCAAAAGATGGGGGTATGTGTGTCTTATTTCTGTGGGGATGATGCTCCACAGGGAGGGAGTTGCCACAGAGAAAGACCTTCTTGGTCCCACTAGATGTACTCTTTAGGAGAGGGGACCCACAACATTCCTTGCCTCCTCTCTCTGGTAGGTCCTGTAGATGTGAGTGGGAGATGATATCCTTCAGATAACCTGGTGCCAAGCCATATAGGACTTTAAAGGTGACAACTAGCACCTTGCATTAGACCTGGTGTCAAGGTTCCGATAGACAAGACCAAATAAATCAGAACTCTGAGGCTTGAGATTTCCTCAAAGAATATTGGTTATATAGTATCAGCATAGTCAAAAGTGAAACCAAATCTGAAGTTCCCTTCAGAAAGCAACAATATTACAAAGTTGAACTTCTCACCCCAATGCTATGCAATTAGCCACATTCCCCAATTGAAGAATTTCGTGGGCTTCCTAACTAAATGCTCCATCCCCTATTTAACTGACAGAAATGACCTTGGTTTCCATGGGACAGTGAAAATGTTTAGACTAGTAGAAATACTCCATCCCCCTCCCAATCTTGTGGCAACTTAGAACAAAGAAAATGGCTGCAGCCAAGTTCGTTGTAAAGTTGACACCTGGAAGAAAATCAACAGCCAATGCACCTGTACACATGTGTCATCTCTCCTGCGGGAGCTGCATTGGCTGTTGATTTGCTTACAAGTCCAAGGTGTTAGCTGTCATCTAAGGATTACATATTTTTTAAATTGTAGGAACTAGAAAGTACAAATTAATTTTTTAATTTAATTTATAAGCCACTCATCTTGCTATCCAAAGTGACTATGCAGTCTGAATGTTTAAAAACTGTAGCTTTAAGTCTTTTTTTTATTTCTGGTGATTGCTCCCTTCAGTTTTCTTGACAGTGGTTGGTGAGTTCCTTTTTTACTAGGGCTGAGGGAAGTGACTGACCCAAGGCCCACCAGCTGTCTTTGATACTAAGATGGAACTACAACTCACTATCTTCTGGTTTCTAGTTTGATGACTTGGCCACTATACCAGATTATCTCTATGTATATACATTTAAGAGATTATAATATAAACTTGCTAGTCACTGTTAATTGATAAAGCAAATGCTGCTTTGTAAGCACATTCAAATACATGTTCAGTTATGAAGTCTTTAATTTCAATGTGAATAGTACCAATTAAAATTATATTTAATAAGTTTAATTATCTAGGAAAAACATGTAAAAAAGAACTAGAAATTACCATTAATAGTAATGAATGATTTTGCTTTGTTTTTTTTAAAAGAATTCTTTATTAGAGTAGCATTCATGAAAGGTTGGGAAGGAGATAGAGATAGGGCTATTCCAAGTATATTGCACTACATCAGGATAGTTTGTGACATCGAAATATTCATTGCTTACTTTATATTTCATGATATGAAAGTCAAAATTAAAAATCCTTAAATGACCTATCACTTTTTATTTAATTTTTAGATGGGAATGATGAACAACCCCAGTCCTTATGTCCCGCCATATAGCCAAAACACTGGGCAGCCAATTGGAGCCAGTGGACTTGGTCCCCAGATGCAAAATAAGCCGGTATTACCTAACAGTTTGCCACAGTTTCCAATGGACAAGAAACCAGTGCCTGCTCCTGTGATGCCTAACATGGTAAGTAGCGATTTTAGTAGAAAATTCTTCTAAAACTAATTTGGAATACTGCAGTATTTCTATGTTAATGGTTTACATACTGTTTCATCGCTTGTCTCTGAAACTATGGTTGGAAAAGTTGGGGTGGGGGACTAAATTATCATTGGAGTCTAACTAGAAATAAGTTACTGGACTACAAGAAGGAATGTTTCAACTGAATTATAATTTCTTCTGAACGTTTTTTTCTCTGATCTCTCTATTATTTGCCATACTTTTGTCATAAGATTTTATTGCACCATTGAATCACAGGTGGGGCTGCTGAAAGATATCATTCAGCATCATTGAAAGTCACAAGTCCCCTATTCTAATTTAAAGCATAGAGTTTTCTTTTTCTGGTTGACATTCTGGAAGCTCAAAGAAGAAAAACAGTCTGTAATGTGTTCTGAAGTAGTGGCCTTATAATTAATTGGTAATGATTTAGGAATATATAAATGATGTGAAAAACTTTATATTACTAAAACTATGGTTACTATTACTCAGATTATTATGCTGACAATTAGTTTAAAAATGTACACAATTGTAGTAGAACAATATTTTTCATCTCTTCTGTATTTTCAAGTAGAAAAGATGCAGGATTAATGTGCATACATACCACTTGCCATAAGTTTTATTGTTAACTGAAACTGGCTATGGAGATGGTGTTATGCTTTGCAAGGGGATGTTTATAGAGTAAAGTGATGGCCATTCTTAAAATATAAAGAATAGGAACTTTTCGAGGATAGCAGATACTGAAAGAGAACTGAGTGACCTTCACTAGAGAAACTGAATGGGGAAAGGTTTATAGTTGGAGAAATAAAATAATATGTATGGTATTTTGGGAGTAAAATTGAGGCAGTAAATTATTGGGAAGTTTGAAGAATGTGATAGCAACAATAGAGTAACCTGGGAGAAAGGGAAAAAGTGATAACAACCATAAGAACAATGTGTTGGGTAAATATGAAGGGCCATTAATGTTGATAAAGTGAATATAAAGGACTAGTTATAAAAAATTTGCTATAGGGACCCTATAAGAAAGAGCCCAACTAATTTTTAATTTTAAAAAATTCATGTTGCCCTACAAAATAAATTATTGCAGCTTTATATATTTTTGTGTAGGAGGAAAAACATACCACTTCTGGAAAATGTTAAAAGTGTATAGCTTGTAAATTTCAGTTGGTGTGTAATTTAAAGGCTCTACCCTAAGATCCTCCAGAAATATATTTGGAGAATGTGGAGAGTTGTGGCCTATGAGCTTCACAGATGTAAATGGCTGTATTATGTTATTCATAATTTCAGATTCTTTTGCAACCACCTTCACATTTCTTTGTTAATAAATTATGACAAAATCTGTTGTCATCAACCCTCTGCCAGATCTATTTAACCAATTCTATTCTCTACATACTATTTTAGAATGGTGTTGAATTCCAATGCAATATCTAAATCAGAATTGGTGAAAGGCTTTTAATATTATTTAAGATTATCAACCACATTGGTTTTATTGGTTTTTTAAAAAATATTTTGTCTTCCATGCTTAGTGAACTAATTCAGTCTTATTAGGAAATAAATTTCATGGATCGGCATCATTTACTTTAGCTTAAAGTTCGTAATATAAAGGAGATAGTTCCTATTCTCCAGCATGACGAGTGGAGAATCCACAGATGGGTTGATCTTGTCTTCCTGCCCTAGAGACTAGTCAATCAACCTTTGCCACGCCTCTCTCCTTAGGCTAGGAAACCCCAGTCATGACTTAGTCTTTGCCCGAGAGAGACGTGGTAAACTTGGCTCTTAGTCTCTAGTGCAGAAGCCCATCATGGATCAGGTTGTATATTTTCTTTCTTTCAATTCCCTTCGCTGCGCTGAATTCAGCACGGCGCTAAACAGCTGAACTGTTCAGATTCCCAACGTTTCTACATGCTTCGGCTGAAGCCTAAAGCCCCTTGCGATGTTCGGCAAGCTAAACAAGCAGCAGTTGCCATTTAGGACGCCGCGTGGGATTCCCTCAGCCTGGGGGGGGGAGAATCCTCCCTTAGCAGGTCATTCAGCAAATTTCAGCAAAAATCTCAGCTTTTTCAAGTAATTGCAGCGGCAGCCGGACTAAGCCAACCACAACACAGGCCTGGCAAATTAGATGGCAATCTTGCGGCCGCCATTTTTGTAGACCGGGAAATTCAAACGGATCAGGCAGAAGCATCATCATTGTGGGCCGCTCATTCAGCTGGCCACAGAGGATTAACCAACTGCTTCTAACGCCAGTGTCTCACTGCACATCAGTCGGAGCAATTTCTTTTTTCCAGGCCGTGACTAGGCCTAATCCAACGGCTGCCATTTAAGATCCTGCACAAAGGCCTACAACTCACTCAGACTTGCCTGCTTATTCGTGCGCGGTCTATGCAAGTGCCACCTTAGATGCCACAAAGGCTTAAAATTCACAGAATCTCTGCTGACTATACAAAGTGTGCACAAAGGCCTAAAATTCACAGAATTTTCTGCTGGCTATACAAGGTGTGCACAAAGGCCTAAAATTCACAGAATTACCTGCTGACTATAGAAGGCTTGCACAAAGGTCTACAACTCACACAATTGTCTGCTGACTACACAAAGTGTGCACAAAGGCCTACAACTCACACAATTGTCTGCTGAATATACAAAGTGTGCTGGCCGTTACCATTAAGTTGGTCTTGCCGCCACCAACGGATTACTAGTGTGCTGGCTGTTACCATTAAGTTGGTCTTGCCGCCACTAAGTGGATTGTATGTGTGCGGGCCGTACCATTAAGTTGGTCTTGCCGCCCTGGTCTGCTGCCATCAGGAGCATTGCATAGGCGCTGGACGTACCATTGAGTGGTCCTGAAGCCACCATTAACCAGATAAGTACTGGCCATTTCCATTAAGTTGGTCTGTCGCCACTATCTGGGTTGTGAGCGTGCCGGCGATTGCCGCCATCACCAGTAGCCAGTACTTGGCCTCTTACTGTTGAGATCCCTCTCAGTCACACCACTGAGACATCTCTTATTTGCAATGGCAGACAACATTGCTCCTCAGACCTCTCAAAGTGCTTCCAATAGTCCTTCCAGGCATAAGAGGTCCAAATCATCCAAACAGGAGGCTGCTGGGAAGCTCAAGGCCAAAGTCATCTCTGGCAAAAGATCCTCTAAGGCTGCTGACAGAGAAGCAAGCAGAAGGCACCAGGCATTAGAGAAACAATTCTCCAAAGCAGAAAAGCGCCAAAGCACAGCAGGAGCTGGGCAGGCCTCCCCTGTTCCCATGAAGGCATCGGTTTTTGGCCCTCTAAACACTCCTGTAACCTCGGCTGCCCCAAGTGCCTGGTCTGCAGAAGGAAAAGCAGGTCAGTTTGCTTTTCCCAGGGCAGAGCAGGTGGAGATGGTCCCTCAAAGCGAGGGGCCTGACCTTCAGATCCCTGCGCCTACGACGAAGGTTAGGCTGAGTCCAGAGGAAACATTTATACCCACAGCGGCAGGACTCCGTCCCCCAGAAGCTCAGGGGGCATTATCATCGGAACAATTACAGGCTCTGATCTCTCAAGCTGTCACCCAAGGCATAGCTTCATCACTACACCAGAGATCCAGACCTGAGTCAGTAATATCAGGGGTCCCATCCTATATCTCCCAGGAGGAAGTAACGGCATACCAGGGATCGATTTCCCCTTCCATTCCTCCAGGGACAGAATGTTGCTTACAGGTGATTACGAATAGACAGAGCAGGGGCTGTCAGAGGATGAGGATTTATCCCCTGACCCGCCTCCCTTCGTAGGCCTCTTTAATCCGGCCCCCTTCAAATCCCTGCTCCACAAGGCCAGCAGCACCGCTCAAATTGGCTCGGAAGGGGTCCCTCAGGCTGGGCCTTCCACCAGTCAGAGTACTAATGGCACGTTGTTTTCAGAACCCACCTTTACCCAACAGCACATCCCCTGCCCCCCCCCCTTTTAATACAGTCCAAAGGCAATGGGGAATGCCTGGCACCTTCCCCTCCCTGGGGAGGGGGACAGACAAGAAGCTATTTAATGTGGACCCAGCACTATCATTGATGCTAGCTGTCCCGGCTGTAGATGAACCCTTAGCACCATTGTTTTCTTCCTTCATGGTGTCTGGAGATATGGCAGAGGCCCTGAGATCAGAGGACAAGAAAGCGGAACTCACCTTCCGCAGGACCCATCAGGCCTCAGCATGGGTGGTAAATGCGGCTACATCCACCTCCTTCTTTGCCAGAATCTCTCTCCTCTGGCTCCGCCAGCTGCAGGCTAGGGTCCAGCCAGAAGAGGTACAGATGCACCACGACCTAAACAAATTAGGGGCTGCATCAAAGTATATGGCGGAGTCGTCGTTACACGCTGCCAGATTTTCCTCTCGAGCAATAGCATCCAATGTCACCGCTCATAGACTGTTGTGGTTCAGACAGTGGTGAGCAGATGCTAAGTCCAAGTGGCAGTTGGCTGCAGCCCCATACAGGGGCGGCCAGTTATTTGGAGAGGCCCTAAATCCTTATCTGTCTGAAAATAAGGATAAGCGCAAGATCTTGTCCCACCTTATCAGGAGAGTATATAGGACGGCTGCCCCCTACGGCCGCAGGCAGCCCTTTCGACCAGAAACAGGGTTGGAGTTTTTTCAGTTCTCCTGCCGTTCCTTCCCAGACCAGACTGTCACCCCGACAGATCTGGCAACAGGAACAGACCCAGACAGCAATTTTAGTCCAAGCGGCCCTTTCGAGGCGCGGGAGGCTTCCCCTTTCAAAGGCCCAAGTGACTCAAGGGAGGAATCTTCCATAGGGAGCAGGTTGGCTCTCTTCGCGCACAAACGGCAAGCCATCACTATGGATCTCTGGGTCCTCAACACCATCAGATTCGGCCTATCTCTGGAATTCACCTCCAAACCTACGAGGCATTTTGTCCGTTGCCCAGCACCCAAAAATCCGGTCAGAAGAGGTCTCATGAGGGAGGCCGTTCGGCATCTCCTGGAGATTCGGGCC